CTGTCATGATTTATAAATTTATTGATTCTCTGCTATAAAATTTGAAAAGGAGGGAAGAATATGCAGAAGGCATGCAATACTTTTGAAGACTTTTGCGTTAAGATTAAAAAAATCCTTTCCCTATAAGCGTGGTACTTCCACAACAACTTATTGTTAATATTTCCCAAGTAGACCTAGGGTAAGTTAGGAAAAATCAACCACAATTCTCATGCCAAACAGCAAATAAAACAGACTCATTTAGTTACCATTGTTTGAGGGCTATGGGGACCCCCTTACCTCTGACTTAATAAAATTTGAGATTAACATTTTTGTAACCCAACTTATTTAATGTAGTTAGGGCAAAAAAAACCTTTACAAAATGCGGTTAGGCTAAGGTACTTAATGCAGTCTCTATGGAATTAAGGTACTTTACTTAATACAGTCTCTATGGAATTTTTATTGATCGCTGCATTGCTCCAAAGCAGCGAGGTTGCAGGTGGATGGCACCTAAAAGAGTCAGATCATTTGAGAGTCTTCTTTTATTTGCCTGACTGTGAGTGATTAAAAGCGAGGCCCTGCTGTCTAGTTAGTCAAGAAAGACATCCTGAGACTGGCCTAGGACTTAAAAAAACTTGTTTTGTTTGCTTGCTCATGGTCAACAGTTGTTTCCCGTGGTGACCCTGAAAGCTGAGTTCATGTCAAATATCTGCAGGACTCCCCCAGTGTAAACCTCCAAGCCAAAGGTAGATCTTCTCTGTGTGTTCTGGTTTCAAACAGGATACCACAAAGACAGTTCTGGTTTGCACTGCTCTGGTCTCCTGGATGGTCTGCCTTCTAAGTAAATCTTCTCTTTCTTCCTCTGACTTAAAGTAAATGGGCTGTGAAACTTTAGGGTAAAATCCCTGCATTTCAAGTTACTATTTTGAAATACAGGAACTCTGAATTTTTTTCCAAAAAAAAATTAATTTTCACATTCAGGGATGACCCAGGACTGAAGGGAAAATTCTGCTTCTTTTTATTTTAAGATAACTTTATTTATTAATTTTTTTCCAACAGTTTCATTGGCATATCATTCACATATCGTACAATTTAATGATTCAATCAAAAATTCTTCTTGATACTGTGTATGCTTACTGTAGAAGTGAGTGCCTTTAGTGTGTTAGGAGATCATTTTCTTTTGGAAAAGCAGATGTCTTTTCCTTTAGCAGTATGCCGCTCCAGGTGTACCTGTCACAAGATGCAAAATACAAGTCTGGAGTAGCCCATCCTCTGAAGTGGTGTGCAAATTGCCTGGGGTGGTTTGAAAGAAGTGCCACCAAGATTGAGGGAAGGTTTAAAGGAAGGGTACCGAGCTTAAATTGTGAACACCTGGTTTGCAGAAGGCTAGGGATGACAGTGGAAGCCCAAACTCCATTTGCAGCATCTGCGCATGGATTAAGCCTCTGGTGAATCCCCTCTGACCATAGCTGAGGGATGTGAATAGCATACAAACAAGCAACCAAGAAAGAGGGTGCTAGCACCTTTCTTCAGACAGAGCCTATTGTACTGCAACTAGTATGCAGACATCAAAGGCACAAGCATTACTAATACGGTCTACAAGTAAGACCACACACACAGTACACATAACATGTAGCTTACTTCAACAGGACACATATCCCACGCCTGCTGATTAAGAACAAGAAAACCACTGAGTTGCACTGGCATTGAAATCCAAGAGACAGAAGGTTGTGTAATGATGTTTACCAAGAAGCTCATGTGTGTACTAGGAAATACTGCTTCCTGACAGATGGGGTTGGGATGGGGCATGGTAGACCTCAGGCCAAAGAAGCAAACTTGTTAGGCTCAGTGCTGATCTACTTTTAAAAAGTGAATGAGTTGCCCACATTTAATACACTAAACACGCAAGTCTTAAAAAATTAAATCACGATCGTCTTACCCACCTAGGGTGAGACCTCGCTGGGGTCCTGTGGCTCTTGTGTTTGTGATCGCCACATCATGGAAAGCCAAGTTAAAAATCAAATGATCTTGTCCAGAAAAAAACGTGGGCGAGTTCTGGAAGGAGGCTTAGGTTATCTTTGTCTCAATATCACTATCCTTATCAACTAGAGAAATCATTTTTAATCAACTATAAAGCAAGAGATTCAATTTCAGGAATCATTTTTAAAATGCGGGCTCATTGGCTTAAATGTCTCAGGATTGGCTGGAGCAATGGACTCTGAGAGGTTATAGACTGTTTGCGATCACAGAAATAAGGCTCGGACAGGACAAGCTATCCCACCCTGGGGCGAATGTTCCATCGCACAGACGAGATTCAGTAGCGCTTCAGTGGGTCGGGTCTAAAACATCCCATTGTGGCAAATTCAATAGAGAAGTGAACTCACTTTGGAAGGTATATAGGACAGCACCGAAGAAAGGAAACATAGTCTGACTAGAAACAAGGTTACCAAACATAAATGAGAAAGCAATAAAATACTTATATAAAGTATGGAGATTCAGCTGTTCTGTGAGACCTGGTCCATGTGCCTCCTCTCTCCCCCATATGTGGCAGGGAGCACGTGACGGCTCTTTGAGTGGGAGCAGGGGGAGGCCTGGTGAGAGCTGGTCATCCAAATCTACTAGATTTGGGCCTTATTGCTAGGTGCATCTGGCAGATGCAGATGCCCAGAGAGCTATCACTTCTTACGGATTACCTATGTAGCCCATAACAATTGGGATGCTGAATGATCGTGACAAGCAGGCATCTTCTCAACTAGCTGAATTGCTTCTCCTGCTCTCTGAAACTGCTCTGGATCTGAACAGATGCACAGGTGGGAGGCCCAGTGTTCAGAGTTAGTCGATGCGGTGAGAGCTACGAAACTTGTACAAAGAAGGGGAGGGAAATGATGAAACTCAGGCTGAGGCATCGGAGTGGGGCCCGATGAGCAGACAGAGGGGCAGGCCAAGCGGAAGCAATCTGGGTAGAGGCCTCTGAGGGGCAGACTGCTACGCTGCTCCCTAGTGTAGCTGCCCTCCCACAGACAAGCGGTGCCTGGCTCCTTACAGCAGGCGTGTCCAGCAGAGTAGACTTCATTTGTGAGCCAGACTCAGTGTGTAGCCCACTGGGGGCCTCTCTGTACACGTTACTCCTTCTTCCTCAAGCACATGCTCCCTCTTTCCTCCTCTCTGTCTGATGTCTTATTCATCTTTGGGAGCTCAGCTGAAGGATGCCCTTCAGGAGCACACTCTGGTCGCCCAGATTAAGTGTGTTGCTCCTTGGCTTTGCCCCCACAACCGACTCCCCTCCCTTGGACAGTCCTTGGCGAAGCCCTGACCACACAGAATTGTAACGCCTCGTTTATGGGTCAGTGTTCTCTCCTAGCTGGGGAGACCCACAGGGACAGTTTGCTGGGCCAGCATCATTGTTCACATCTCATCTGAAGGAAGTTCCTCAGAGAATTGTGGTTGGATGGTTCAATAAACGACAGTCCAATCCACCTGCGTCTCAGCTCACTCAAGTAGTCTCCACTGGCCTCTCAATCACGGGACTGACTGTCTGGTGCTTGTGGTCGGGGCTTAGACGATGGGAAGCAATGGACCTTGACGCCCAACAGAGTTTCCCAAGAAGCAGAAATTCTGGGGACACACCAAGCACAAGTTTCAGGTGTAACTAGAACTTCTAAAAACATCTGCCTGAAAGAATAAGAAGGGAAGGAAGGTGTGTGTGTGTGTAAGTGCACACACATCTGCATTTATAATTTGTATGTGCATTGAGGGAAGAGCTCTCCAGGACAAAGTGTGGGTGATAGCATTTTGGCCATCACAAACTCAGGGTTAGAGAATGGAAAAGAGGAAAAGAAGGAGGGACTTCTTAAGGGATGATCTCACAAGGGAACCACAGAGCTACCAGAGCCCCCGTGGGCGTGGAGACTGAGTATGATCTCTGAGCGGCTGTACATAATTCTATTAGGAGGCAGTAGAGGTCTAGGCCAATCAGGCGCGCTTCTTTCCCAGATAGAAGGCAACTTCTTTTGTCTAACAAAGCCAGGGTTGTTCTTGGGCAAGTCAGAGGTTCTAGGGCAAGACTCTGAAGACATTGGGGAGTCCTATAGGCGGAAATACAACCCAAGAGAGAGAACTACACCAAGAACTGACCCCAGAAACCACCATGCCCTTTCCTTGATGGAAGATGACAGACGTGGTCCAAACCCAGCTGGTTCTCAAAAGGCATAGGCTCACCTTTCCTCCCAGTCTTAAGTTTCTTGGGTTTTCTCCACCACGTACAGCACAACCTTTTAAAGCAGTGGTTCTCAACCTTCCTAATGCCACTACCCTTTAATACAGTTCCTCATGTTGTGGTGACGGACCCCCCCCCCGAACCATAAAATTATTTTCATTGCTACTTCATAACTGTAATTCTACTACTGTTATGAATTGGGCGACCCTTGTGAAAGGGGTCACTTGACGCCAAAGGGGGTGTGACCCACAGGTTGAGAACCACTGCTTTTAAGGCTTTCCATGGTCCTCAGTGTAATCATGTCCCTTAGCAAGGCCCATAAAATTCATCTTACCAGCATCACTTTTTACCACGAGTAAAGAGGCAATTACGACGACGGACTGTGTGGCTTCAGCCCAAGATGGCTTGGGTTCTCAGAAATCAGAAGAACTTGGAAAAGGGGGAACAACCACCTAAGTCTTTAAACGAGTCTGAAAGTTCAACGTTGCAAAGCAGGAACGACCTCTTCAGGAGTGAGGTGGTGAGAGGCCCCCTTTCTAATCCCATCACCGACTGAAGTCTGGGTCTGGGGTCTTCCTGCCTCTTCTGGGTCTGGGGTCTGGGCCTAGAGTCCCCATTGAGGTCTCTACTCAGACTTAGAATGGCTGAGCGGTCTCTGGTGCTGCTCGGCTCGGGGTTCCCCTTGTTCCCTGACCCAAGGAGACTCCAGTAATAGGACTAGAGTCATGGGATTGACACTAGTCGCCATCCCCCGTCCACCATCCCCCTACAGGGTGACACCTTAAGGGTCATTAGACAGGGGAGTTACCTCCTCGGCCCTCACTGGTAGCTGGTTTCACTTGGATCGGACGATTCATCTGAAAGACACCAGACCAACACATCCAGTCAGCACCAATGTCTGGTTCTAGGACCCCAACTTTTCCACCCCTAGACTCACGGTCTGCACCCTGAATCCACTGAGCTCTGCCCTCCACCCCACCTGCACTAGATTTTTTTCCCCCTCCAAGATTTCTTCCTTAATCCCAAGAATTTTGGAAGGTGCTGAAATCCGAAGGAAGTGGTGTTGGCAGTCCAGTGGCGAGCACGGGGTTGGGCAGGGGCTAAAGAGATTTTTCTGTCTTCGATTCTTAGGCACTATCCCTCTGTCTCTGCATGAGATGGATGGGGTGGGAGGGTGCAATTGACACAGCAGGCTTGGGTTTTGTGACACAAGCTGAGACTGTAACCCTCCAGGTCAATCGAACGAAACAAGTTCGGAATCAGATCTCGTACTATCTAGCCCACACTGTGCCATCTAATGGTTGTAAGGCTTCGAGTAAGCCATCTGCTCTCTGACTCAGCTTATCAAATGGAGAAAACAGTCCCTGAGTGTCCATGTCACCAGAGATTCCAGCTTCACCTATGTAGTCCCCTCCCTGGGCTTCTCAGCCGCGGGGATGCTGGAGTTCTCCATCCTCGGCCCTCATGTGTCTCATTCTTCCTGAAGAGACGCATCCACACCCACGGAGGGTCTCCCTTCCGATCCGCGCAGTTGTGACTCAGAGCTCCATGCCTGCAGCCCAAGCCTCTCTCCTGAGATTTAGACTCGTGTGCCCAGCTGTTTGCTGGACATTTTGACTAGAAAGTCCCACCTTCCACGCAACACATCCAAAACAGAGCTCATCTTTTCACCCAGACCTGCTCCTCCCAGTCTCTCCATCTAGCCTGAACAACCCCCTCCAGCCCTTCCCCACAACCACTACCACCTTCTAATTCAGATTCCCTGGGAGGGGTGGATCAGAACCACCTGGGAACCATATCAGACTTTCAAGGTGGGGTTTTGTATAATTTGGGGGGGAAAAAGCTCCTAGGTGATTTCCATATACACCCCCACACTCCCATCCCCCAACCACCCTGGGTGAATGAATGATTGAATCCCCATCTCACCTTCCTCTCATGGGTGTTGTGGGGATCACATGAGGTAATGGGGAGGCAAAAGGTCTTTGTACACTGCCAAGAGCTGGGTGCGTGGGATGTGAGGTATTATTGTTGGGGGGCAGAGAGCCGAGTGCCGGGAGGGAAGAACAGCAGGTTTCCCGTTCAGGGAGGAAGGGGTACTGATGCCCATCTGGCCTGAGAAGGTGATGATCTGACCCCCTCCCTTCAGGAAATGCACTGCTTCTGCACCAATCAGGGCCCACTCCATCCCTTACCAATGTGCTGGTTGCCGAGACAACAGGCAGCTTCCTGTTACCATAGCCACAAGTGCTACCCGGTAACTATGGTAACGCCCTGGCAGTCACAGTTGAGCAATTTCCTTTGGATCAAATTTGAAGGTTGGGAGGGGTGGAGAAGACTGACTAAAAAATATATTTTTTTAAATATAAAAAGGAAAACATGCCAAATCTGAACTAGTGCAGTCCCCTCCCCCTCCCCCATCCAAGCGGGACACAGGTTCTTACACGCTCTGACACACCCACCCGCTAGTGGTGGGGCGCTTGCAGTGTGCCAGGCTGTGGGTGGGGGCCCAGACACTGACAAGACACAGGTTGCAGTCTGGAGGGGATGACAGATCAATCCAGACAGATCAGGGCGAGCTGGACAGATCTGAACTGGCGTGGACCAGGGACCAGGAGGGTGGGACCCAACCCTGGGTATGGGCACCTGTGATTGTGGAGGAGAGACCAAGAGACGGGCATGGAGAGCAGAGACACCGTGAGAGATGAAGAGGCACAAGAAGAGAGAAATGTCGAGAAAGAGAGAAAGCAAGGAAGACAGACCCCGGAAGAGGCGAGGGGAGAGAGAAATAGGGGTGGAGACAGGGATTGAGGAGATAAAGGGCCGGAAAGCCGGGCTGTGGGGAGCCTGGTGGGCTAGAAGGAGAGAGGCAGAGCCTGGGCAGGGGGCAGTGAGGGTGAGCAAGACCATCATTATTTTATTAGTTCTTTAATAGATCCTGAGAATTTCTCTCTGGAGCCTAAAGTGACAGGCACATGTGCCGGTTTCCATGGCAGCTGCCTCCCCAGCTGGTTTCCTGGGAGATGGAGTGCACCAGTGTTCTGGGTGACACCCTTTCCCCCCTGCACCCACTCCACCACCCCTAGGGAAGAGCAGGCATTGGGTGGAATGGATACATCCCACCTGGAGCTGACACGGTGCAGGCCACAGAGGCTGGGAGCCAAGGCCTTCCAGCACTCAGGCACACTTGTGCCAGTGTGTCCGGACCTCTGTGAAGAGCCTCAGGCTGGGTCCTTGGGAGCACACCAATGACAGCTGGAATCCGGGTCTCAAGGGCTCACAGATGATGCTATTATTCCATGAGAATTCCCGATGTGCCAGGCTCTTCCTGGGGCACTTTGCGTACATTGATCCTACACCTTTCTAATCATGCCGCAAGGTAATATTATTGCCCCCACATTGTAGATGAGAAAGCTACGGCTCTGGGAGGTGAAATCACTCATCCAAGATCACTTGGGGAAGTGGTTGAGCTGAGATTTGCCTCCACTTCGTTTAAAGCCCAAGCCCCTGCTTTTCCCCATTGCTCTGCTGTCCTCGGTCCTGAAGAATGCCAGCACACAGCATGAGGCACCGAGGGGCAGGGATTTAGGAGGCTGTGGGGGAGGCTACCTCCAGCCTCAGAGGCTGGATCAGAAAAAGTTTCACGGAGGGAACAGTATTTAACCTGAACCTTGCCGGACTTTGGCCACGTAGAGGTGGTGAGAGAAGTAGATATTCCTGGCGGCAAAAACAGTTCTCATGTGTATCTGGTGTCGAGATAGCCAAGGAGAGCAAATTGCTCCTGCGTCAGCTAGATGTCGAGTTCAAGCTTGGCTCCATCACTGTCACGTTCTCAGCAGTCTCTAAGTCTTGGCACGTGTCCCCATGAGTGCAGAGGGAAATCCTGATTCTAACCTTGCAGGGTTATGGTGGAAATGACAATACCTAGATCTTAGTAAATGCACCAGATCTAACACCTTTTTTTTTTTTTAATGGAAGGATAGGAAACTGAATGGTAGGTGCAAGCCAGATCAAGGCCAGACTGTGAAAACTACTAAAACCAAGATTTTCAACTGGGTTGTACTTCAAAGGAAACAGGGACCCAGGGTGGTTTTAAGCAGTGGGGTGACCTAGTCAATTTTGTTTTACAAAGGATCCCATTGAGCTGCCTTTGTGCAGAGAAGGCATTGGAAGGATTAGAGGCAGGGGTAGAGTTATGGGGTGAAGGTGATGTGAATTAGGGGAGAAGAAAATGACAGACTGGGAGATGTTTGGGAAGAATTAGCTAGACTACAGCTCTTTAGGATGTAGAGACTGAGGAAGAGGAGGGAATGTTGGTTGACTCCCAGGTTTATGGCTCCAGATTTGAGGCAGAGGGGACCTTGGAAGTGCCTAGGCAGCCCACAAGGATGAGGACAGATTAGAGAAGGGTGGTACTTCCAGGGCTCTGGCCTTCAGTCCCCACTGGTCAGTGATCATGGAGGGCACCTGGGATTTCATATGTTCTGCATGGCTCGTTGGAGAAGAAATGCCCACTTGAGTGACCTAGGCAACCCTACCCTGCCTTGTGCCTGCCATGGCCGGGGTGGGGATGGTGGGTGGGGGAGGGAAGTAGGAATGAGGTCAGCTAATAAGAGTTCTCCTTTGAGGAAAAGAGGGCATTGTCTCCTTGGCTGAGAACTTGTGGAATGGACCTCAGGTGAGCGCTTGCCCTAGGCTGAGCACCCACTCATACCCTGGGTAGAGTCCAGGGCCACATCTACTTTAGGACCCAGCCTGGAAGGGGATGGCAGAGAGCAGAGAGCAGAGTCTGATCCAATCAACACAAGGTGGAGGGAGCAGGAGGGGGAGGCCAGAGGTGGCTCAGGCATCCAGAAGGTCTTGGCTCTTCTGTCTCAGTGAGAAACCACCTCCTCACCTCTCTGCTTAACTTTTATAAAGTTCCTCCATCAGCACTGTCTGCTGGGGCCCAGCACTGCTGTCTTTAAATTCCTTCTTCCTGATGCCAGTAAGAGCTCCAGTAAGCACGCACGCCCCAGCACCAGTTCTCCCATGGGAAGAGCGCTGACAAGACAGTTACCAGAGAAAGGACTGTCGATGTGTTTGAGAGAAGTGTCATGGGTTGTGGGGACAAGGTGGGCAGAGAAAAAGCAAATTTTCTCCATTTCAGCCTTATACCTCCACTGTTCTGATTCAACCTGGTCTTCTTGGCTCTAGAATTTATACAGCTATTCTAACTAGCTCGCAAGTTTCATCTCTTCTTCCTCCTCACTCCTGACCTACCATGAACACTAGGCCTACAACACCCGTACCCGTACTCAAGCGCCAGTATCTAAAAGGATCATCCTCCCTCTAGCATTGCTTCCTCTCCAATCCATCCTCCACACTGCGACCAGAGCGATCTGTTTAAACTGGTTCCTCTCTCTTCACTGCTTAAGATTCACCATGGTTCCCCCTGGCAAGCCTCCAGGTAAAGTCCAGGTAGCCTAAGTCTAGCAGTCAATATTTGTGACCTTGACTCCCCTTTGGAGCCCCAGGTGTCTTTGCTAGAGATCCCCTGCTGGGGAGTATGCTAGATAGTGGGCACCAGGTGAGCTGCTTCCTTTCCAGTTTCTAGACCCTTGGACAGGATGGAATTCGATCGAGATTCTGCTCAGATAGAATCTCCTCCATGCAGGCCTCCCTCCCCATTCCTGATGCCTCTTTTACTTGTCCAGATGGAACCCCCAAAGGGATCTGATGAGCTGTTTCTGCGTTGCCAGTTCCTTAAGGATAAAGGCTCAGACTCACTCGCTGGGCAACTGCTAGCACATCCAGTACCTTTCTGTGAATTTGGAAACACATCCTCCGAACCCCAGGGATAAATGAGAAACACGTGCCTTCCTCTGGGCTAACGCAGCCCTGCAGTGATGTGCCTGGCTAGCCAACAGAGCACGGCTGGATTTTGCCCCCATCTGTCCTCCCTATCCAAGCTGTTCTGTGCAGGACCCAAGTCAGAAAGCAGGTGCCCGGCCTGACTCAGTGATGTCTCTTTCCCAGAGTTTGAAGGGATGGTGGATGTCTAAGGGAAAGGAGGTCATGAGCAGAGAGAGGGGCAGATAAGGGGACACCTTTTGAATCCCAGAAGGTGAGACTGAAGTTGGGCCTCACTCTCTTCTGGTGAATTCTGGAGCCCAACAGGAAGTCAGGAAAACGTGGCTGCAGGAGGTGAGAGCTATCTGGAAGTCCTGAGTAGGAAAACGCATTTTGGGAGCTGACAGAAATCGGCAGGGTACAGGTCGAGAGGAGCTAAGAGGAGGCTCCAGCGAAACTCCCAGGGGACCAGGCTTCCTCCTCTGGGGCGGGAGTGGGGAGCCGCATGGGGCAGGGAAGCTTCTTCTGGTTCCCTCCTGACACTCCTGCCGGACTCCAGCAGGAGTCCAGATTGAAGTCTTGTCCCCGCTTCTCCAGCAGGTGGCACATGTGCCCAGGACCCAGTGCTAGCAGAGCGCTGGGCACCCTCCTCCTTCCAGGAGACCAGGTGACTGAAGCTGCCACTGCCCCTGGCAGGCTTAGGGGAAAGATTGATGGCACAGACTTGGCCAGGGCTGGCCAACAAAGCCATCGATTTTCATTTAGGAGAATGATTAAATATTAATTTTCACTTTGTTAAGCTGGGGAGGCTGAATAAGGCCAGTCCTGGCAGGGCTAATGGCAGCCAGGCTGTGTTGGAAGACTGCAGATGGAGAAGCGTGGAGGGGTACATGTATCCCATCATCAGCCCCTCCAGACCCTAAAACTTTCCACCAGCCAGGCGGACATAACATAGCAGTGTGGTTGGCAGTTAAGTGAATGAGTCCCAGAGCCCTGCTACCTGGGCTTATAGCCCACGCCGTCCCTTTACAGGGGCTACATGACCATGGACACAAGTGCACAGGCGATCCTAGGACTCAGTTCCTTCATCTGTAGAATGGGCATGACAAGAACAGCACCGTCACCACAGAGGAGTAAATGGCTTCAGACATGACAAGTGCTGGGAACCTGTCCGGTATTCCACATGTTAGTTACGTGTCTCTTTTCTGTCCCACGATTTCTCCCAGTACTCCAGGGCTTCACAGCTCGTGTGTTACATGCCCTCGTGGTCATGGAGTTCCCATGACCATGGGTCTAGGTCACTTCCATGGGGCCCTGAGGCTTGTTGAAGGAGCTCCAATGGCACAGTGATTAAAGTGCTCAACCACTCACCAAAAAGCTGGTAGTTCGAACTCATCAACCACCCCATGGCAGAAGGATGAGGCGGTCTGCTTCCACAAAGAAGTACTGAAGTCCTTGGGGTGGAGCTCAGTTCTACTCTGTCTACTCACAGGGTTGCTGTGAGTTGGAATGGACTTGACAGCAGAGTTTGGTTTGGGGTTTCGTGTTTGGGGCTGGTTGAAGGAGGTTTTGTTTTCCCAACGTTTATCTTAATTTTTTCAGTGCCCCCCCCCCACCATTTGCCTTCAGAATAACACCCACCTTCCTTTGCTGGTATTTCTCTTCAAGCCCTGCCTACTGCAAAGCTTCTGTTCATTCTGGCTCCCACTCTCACGGGCCTTCCCCGACACTCCAACCCCCAATTCCCTGTCACAAGTATCCTATTCCTTCTGTTTCCGCCCCTTGACTGAGCCCACCTGGAACGGCATAGCCTGTTTCACTGACCTCAGTTCTAGCATCAGCGGCCATTGGCTCCCAGGTTGACTGAATGGTGACGTCTACCACCATTCTGAACGTTGCCATTACTATCTGCTTTTACACCCAACTAGCCCATGATGAGTGTTTCCTGTCTGCCATGAACTGACTGAGCGCTTTACATGTCTTTGCTCATTGAATCCCTACAGCAATCCTGTGAGTTGTTTTATCGATGGGTGCAGAGTTGGAGACTTGCTCAAGGTCCCAGCACTGGTGGGTGGTGAGGCCTGTGTCCACATGGAGGTATACTTGAGTCCCGAGCCTGGGGACAAAGGGTTGGTGAAACCAGCAAGTTGGTCCTATTTGGCACAGAGCTCTTCCCACTTGCTAGACCAGACCCATTGCTGTCTAGTCAATTCCACCAATTCAGATTCATAGCAACCCTATAAGACAGACAAATTGTCCCATGGCGTTTCCAAAGCTTCTTTACAGAAGCAAATTGCCACATCTTTCTCCTGTGGAGCTAGCTGCTGGTGGGTTTAAACTACTGACCTTCTGTAAAGAGCCAGGCGCTTAACCACTACACCACCAGGACTCCTTATCCTACTGCCAGACAGCTCCAATTCAGAGACATGACTGACTGCTTTATCTGCACTAAAGTCAAGGCCTGTTGCTTATAGTCACTAATCTTGATCCTGCCCTCTGGGGCCACTTGTAGAAAACCCAAGATCATTTCCGAATCTAAAAGCAGTCACCCCACTTCAACAAGAGTATGTACTGAGACACTCACTCACTCACTCACTCTCACTCACTCACTCACTCAAAAAAAAAAAGAAAAAAAAAGAATATGTACTGAGATTTTACTTACTGCTAGGTACTAGATAAGCCTCAACCCTCGCTCTAGCCCAGGGAGCTAGATGTTTGTATTACCCATGTAAAGATTTATTTGTTTGTTTATTTATTTTAACTCACTCTTTAATGATGAGACAATTAAAACTCAAGACGCAATGTCATATGCCCAGGTTCATAAAACCGGTCAATGGCAGAGCTCGGATTTACACCCAGATCTATAAGACTTGAAGATCAGTATTCTTAATTATTAGGTCAGGACACCTCCTTATGAAAATCCAAAGACCTGTTGCCACTGAGTCAGATCTGACTCATGGAAACCCCAGGTGTTACGGAGTGGAACTTCTTTACAGCGTTTTCTGGGTAGCAATCTTCACGCATGGCCTCTCTTTCCTGGAGCTGCGGGGTGCCAGGCCTCAGAGCAGCAGCCAAGTGTAAACCGCATCACCATCAGGGCTCCTTACCTGCCCCCACCCAGTGCTCTCCAGACAAATACCTCCAATTCCTTCACACGGTCTGCCCATGTTTCATTTGTGCTCCTACTCCACCCTGGTCACTCTTTGATACCCTAGTGATGTAGTCCTCTAGGCTCTGGCTGCTCTTCACATTTGAAAAGTCTTCTTGTTCTAGATATTCTGTTCCTTGGATAAGAGAAACGAGGCTGTCCTGGTGTAACTTGCTCTTGGTGTACTGCGGCGTGTTAGCTCTTGGTGGTCACTGCTTTCCTCCTGCTGCAGTCAGTAGGCCCTGCTTGGCTGTTTGTCCAGTGACTTGCCATTAGCCGTTAGCCATAGCCAGTCAGGTGCTACTGCGACATAAAATCTAGCTAACCATTGAATCCGGTCGCCCTGAACTTTGGCCCAATATTGGGGGTGTGAAAGGAAGGTGATCTTTGGGAGTCAAAGCCCCCCAAAGACATTACAGGGAGAGGCTAAAAGGACAGTGCCACCAAGGACCCTAGGACCTGAGAAAGTGGGTTGAGTCTCTATCCCCTGGAGTCACATACATGTTCACACCAGTTGACAAATGACATCGGAAGCCATAATTTTAGCCAAGGTGGACAAGGTCTAGCTTTGCTCTTAACCCTGAGGCCTCTCTTGAAAGATGGGATAAAGCATGTAGCCCAGGGGGCCTGACTGCCTTCCTTTGAGCCAGAAGACTGACTATAACAAAGAACAGAGAGACTAGGGAAGACCCCCTCCGAGGGAGATGACTCTGCTTCTAGCTCTTGGTCGTGGCCCATTCCCCACGTGCTGCACACCGTGTGCGCCCCAGCCTGGGCTGGTTGCCACCCACCCCCAACCCTGGAGGACTTACCCCTGGCAGGGTCTTCTGCTCGTGCAGTGCACTCTGGGCCTTGAGAGCAGAGTCCCGGGCGCAGTAGGTGAGGAAGGCACAGCCTGGGGAGGAAGAGGCTGGCTCAGGGGGTTTCTTGAAATCCCCAAATGCTCTTCCAGGAGAGGCTCCATTAAGTTGACAAACTCAAGATCACAATCATTTAAACCAGGGCACTACTTCTGAGAAGCTTCTCTGGCTCCCATCTTCTCGGAAAGGAGGGACTTCCTATGCCTGGAGACCTGGATCTCCAGCTCCTGCTCCCTCTCATTTGCTCCTGGCCTCCTGCCCGGGGGAACATGTGCACTCACACCCAATCACATGCTCATACAACCCTGTGCCCTCCCCTCCCCACTCTAGCCATACGTCCTGTTGGCTCAAATCTCACTAAGCGGATTTGCTTTCAGCTTTAGCACCGGCCTTCCCTGCCTTTTTAAAATTTAAACTCACCAAGTCTCCTAGAATCAGTAGCAACCTCTTCCCAACTGAATGGAAAGGACAGGAGGCAGAAGAGGAGGAGGATGGTTGGGGGGGTGTGGGGTGCAAACTTAGGACACCACGATTCCTTCCCAACATCTTTCTCGTCTGTGTTTGAAGCTGGGGGGATGGATTCATTTGAGACTTGAAAGATGGGGCTGGCTTAAAGGCTTTCTGTAGGTGGAAGCTTTCAGGGATATCTAAATCCTATCCACTCCTCTTAGAGGGTTATTGTGCCCCAACTCTGAGATCTCTAAAAGGGCCAGCAGACATGGGACTAGACAGGTCTGGACTGAACCAAAAGGCCAGGTCTACCTCTTCTTGTTCAGCTTCAGACCTGCTAGGAGCCACTGAGGCTGGGTAGCCTTCCTTTGCAAAGGGATTGAGCATTCATTCATTCAGAACATATTTATCAAATATTTATTATGGAGAGGTTTTAAAATCATGGGCTTGGAGACAGAATGGCAACAGGAGGGACCCATCCCCTGACCTCGTGGGGATTACGTATGTAACTTATCATGGGGGTACTTTTTGAGTTCCAAAAGTGGGAGAATTGTCTCAAAGAGGACACTGAGTCCTGTAGAACACAAATAAGGGTTAGCCAGGTATCAAGAGGGGGAAACAAATATTTCTGGCCGAGAGAACAGCATATGTGAAGTCTTTTTTAAAATGAAGTTGACAAACTAAGAAAGGATTTGGTGTGTCTTTGAATCTAAAAGGGATTTGGTGTGTTGGAGGAGTGGATAGCAGGCCACTGTGGCAGGAGCTTGGAGACTGGAGGCAGAGTGACGAGTGAGGTATGTGGGAGACAGGTGACATAGGAGCTTGTAGGGCTCCGTTGGGATTTGGAACTTCCTCCTAAGAGTAACGGAGAGCCAGTCCCTCAAGAGTGACAGGATAAGATTTGAGTTTTTTTTTAAAAAGAATCGTTTGAAGGTAGCAAGGCCAAAGACTAAAAGAGGGGAAAGTGGGTGCGGGAAACCATTAGGAACTTGATGCGGGTTTCCATGTATGCCTCAGCAAACGAGAACGAGAACGAGAATGAGGGTTGTGTTTCTAAAGTGTCTTCTACATGACTCCCCCTTAAGGTCCCCTAAAGGGACCTGGAGACCACTGGGACCAGCATCTCATATCCATAGGGTACACTGGAGCCCAGAGAATGTGACAGTGGCCTGGCAGGATGTGGACTCTCATAACTCCCAGGCTGGATTGCTTTCAAAGCCCAGTGGCTGCCTCCTCAATACTCAGCAGTGAAAAGGAAACTGAATCTCCCTGGCTTTGGGCCATCACTGATGCAGGGGAGAAGGTGGGCAAGGCAAACTATTTATTGGGAGACCCTTCCCAAACATTGTGTAAGAAACAGGTGATCTTTGTCAGGGGGAATGATGGGGTTGGTTTGTCAATAACTTTACCCCAAACACCTAATTCTGCTTACATCCCTGACCCATCTTCAACAATCACCAAGCCTTATCAGTTGACATCAAAAGCTGGTGGGGGGTGGGGGCGGGGAGTGCTCAGGGTCTGTCTGAAAGGCTCATGGGCCAAGTTACTGCCTAACGAATAGAGCCCAGTGCACTCCCTGGTGTCAGGTGTGAAGCGACAGAGGAATGAGAAGACAGAGAAGCATGGTTTGAGGGACAGACATGTGAACACGCAGGAAGAATGACAGTGACGTGGAAAGAGTGAGAGAAGATAAACAGTTTAGAAACTTAATAGTGTTTGAGGGCCAAGTGAGAACACGAGTTTAGACTTCCATATGGAAATCTCAGCCTAGAAAACAAGGTGCTATGGATGGATGGACAGACAGGCTGCGTTAGGAGAAACCTGGATGGTGTGGTCTTGTCCTCTCATGTCCCCTTTCGTATATCTCCAAAGGGTAAGAGATGCACCTGTACCCATCTGGTCCCAGCCCTTTCATGGGTATCTATCCCTGAGGCTCCTACTCGTTATGTGACATCTCAGTCAAAAGAAGTAGCAGCCTGAGCCCAGCTCACAGTCCTTAAGAACACAGTTAGCTATATAACCTAAGGCCCGGCACTTCTCTCCTGGGAAGATTCTGGACGATGGATAGACATCCTTACCCCCCAAACAGGAATTTACAGCGTGGGTGAGGGGCAAGAGGGAATAAAGATGCTTCTCAAATCATCCCCCTTCCTCTCGTCCATGTATGACACTGCGCTTCCGCATAACAGTCATTAGTATGGCTCTTACTCCAGCCCAGCCTGGACAGACTTTTCTGCATGTAAACAAGCCTCCTCCCTCTCTCCTCTCTCTACAAGAAGAAAGGGGTGTGGCTGGACAGGGCCATGGCGCCTCTGTCTCTCTGGAAAAGGCAGGAATAAGACTCCTTGTCTCTTCCACCTGACCCATCCAGAAAGTGCTCCGGAGCAGGAGATTTGGGGGTGAAAGAAGTGTGGGTTCAGCTGAAGGGAAGGCTGCGATGAGGGGACACAGGTGGAGAGAGTCCCCAGCTGAAGCCAGGGTCTTTGCTGACATCAGAAGAGTAACAGGCATGTGTGGACTTGGGAAGGGGCAGGGGGCTTGGGGCCGTTGCTAAAGATGAGGTGGCATTTAAAATGGAGTGTCTCTTGGGAGGGGAATTGACTTTGTGAGTTAGCCAGGTCTAGCATGTGAAGAAGGGGAGCGCACTTGGGTTTATGGGGCTTTAGGTTGCGCTTCCGGTCAAAAGAAAGCTCTGGAACTTGGCTGGACAGGGAAGGCCGGAATGAAGGGTACACAACCCAGAAAGATGGGGAATTGTTTGGGTCTGAGTCGAGTGGCACCAGATGCGGGGCTGGGGGTGGGGGGGTTTCAAGAATGCTTGGGTCCAGGGTTTGGAAGGTTGAGATCGTATTGGAGATAAAGGTGGACTAAGTTTCCAAATTCCAGGGCTTGGAATACCTGATGGAAAGGATAAAGGAGAGGTCTAAGGGAAAGGCAGGCTGTCGGGTATGAGAGGTGGTGGGTAAGGGAGTTGGCAGCTAGACTGGAGGAGATGTTGACCAGAGAAAATTCTGGGCTGAGGGTTCTTTGAGCTGGGAGAGGGCTGGCCTGAGGTGGGGCTGGTGATGGACTGGTGTTGGACTCGTTTTCGTTCGACTAGGACGGGGCTGCGGAGGGGGCTGGGGTTTGGGCCAGGCTGCACGCTAATCGGATTGGGGCTGGGCTGGGCTGGGCTGGGCTGGGCTGCCCCCGCGCACCTTTGTGGAGGCCGGTGAGCCGGTCCTTCAGCACCGTCAGCTCGTAGATGCGGCCGAACTCCTCGAACAGCGGCTTGAGGTCCTGCTCGTCCAAGCCCCGCGGGATCTGCCCCACGAAGAGCTTGATGGCGTCGTGGTCCTTCATAGGGACGGCGGGACCCGGGTTTAGCCCGCTCAGGCCGACGCCGCTGTCCGTGGTGCTGAAACCCAAGCGCGAGCCGGGGCCGGCGGGCGGCACAGACCCTCCGGGCGCAGCG